TGTTTATATATATATATATATATATATATATATATATGTATATATATATATATATATATATATATATATATATATATATATATATATATATATATATATATATATATATATATATATATATATATATATATATATATATATATATATATATATATATATATATATATATATATATATATATATATATATATATATATATATATATATATATATATATATATATATATATATATATATATATATATATATATATTTCACTTTTCAAGATAGTTGAAAGATAAATTTATAATTATGTAAATCAAACATTTTGCAGTTACACAACAAATAAACAAAACCGAAATCCAGAAATAAAAATAGTAGGACTGATCTAACTAGGAGTTAATTTAATTACTAATTATAACAAGATAGATGTTTTATAATCAACAATCAAGAAATATAAAAATTTACACAATAAATATAAAAGTATACATGTTCATGATTTAGCACCTTCGGGGTTATTTTATAAATAGTAATGTTAAACTAAAAATTATTAAACATTACATACAACTCAAAACTTTTAATATACAACTTTTATAAAAATCAACAGTTTTATAAAATTTAATTAAATCAATAGCATAATGAATTTCATGTTAGCTTAATATTAATTGAACTATTATTTTTTTAATATATTAATGTCAATTACAGTTGAAATAGTTAATTAAAGAATTTGATTTTAACAAATTATTATATAATTAACTTAATATATTAATAAATTATATATAAATCATAGCATTTAAATTTAAAACAGAAAAAAAGATTGTTTGGTTTTACTACCAAAAGAAATTTTAAAAACCTCCTCTGTGTGATTAAATTTGGTTTGGGTATGTTATGTTGAAAGCAAATATTCCTTTGTATTGTAAGCTTTGGGGTGTAGAAAGATTCTAGTTTAGGACATATGCACAGGAATTACATCTTAATTTAAAAATTATTAGTTGATTAATATATTTATAACAATATATTATAAATTGATCATGAGTTATATTTTTTAAATTATATTATAAATATTTTCTAGATTCTAATTTAATTTAGGAATGATTCTTACTCTAAATGTCTAATCATCATGATTCGTGGGTGCTGGGAAAATGAATGAAGAAATCTTTATTTCAGAAAAATGAGGATCGCTAACGAACTTATTATAAATTTTCGATTTTTCTGATGCATCAAAAAAATGGCAATATCTATTTAACGATTAAATACGGCACCTTATAAAACCTAAAACTTCACGGAATGTTGAAAACGAAATAAATTTTAACAAACGAGCTGTTATAGGACATATGCACAGGACATATGCATATGTCTAATTATATCTCAGATTTTTCTAAAAATAAATCAAAATGCTCATGAATAATTAATTTATAAGAATTTGCTTCCAGAGGTAACTTGTCCGTTGAAAAAAATTTTCAACGTTAAAACGCTGGTAGGGCGCTTCCAGTTATATAATTCCATGATATGCACTTATTTAGTATTGATCTGTTTTTCATTTTCTGCCATTTTGTTTAATTGTAATTGTCTGTTTTTTCTGACAGGACAAGTAACTTATGTGGTTCGTTTTTCTAAAAATACGCATTTTGTATGTTTTCTAAGACTAAAATCAAGCAAAAAATAACAAATATTTAATATTACCAACACACAAAATTTGATGCAACTGTACACACTGTACAGCTAAATATATTCTTTACATCGCATCACATTTACAACTTTACAGTTTCCTATAGTTTTATAAGCAGATATTATGCGCAAATGCATGCACGTTTGCAGCTACTTAAATGGCACATATTACATATGCACGCAGGCTTGCTGTGTCTTCTCGGTACTCACTTTTAGGTTTATCTCTTTTTTAACGTGTGTATAATTGGCACCGACAATAGATATATAGGTCGGCTTGTGTGACCACGTTCTGTCTCATAAAATTTTATCCATGTGACATAGCTGTCTAGCTTGTTGTACTTTGGGATGAAAAATATGAAAAATATTTGTTTTATTTAGTTTAGTTTCATTTAATTTAATTTTTGCGGAACTAAGGCTGTCGGTCGTGAACGAATATTTATATCTTTTTTTTAAGATTCATGTGTTTTCAATCATTGATTTCAATTTTCAATTAATCAAATTAAATTAATTTAATTTAAATTTAAAAAGAATTGAAAAGCAAAAAAAGGATGAGGTTAGTAATTTTAGAAAATTCTGATCGTGTTGCAGAGTGGGCCGCTCGATTCATTAAAAAAAGAATTCATGATTTTAATCCTGGACCAGACAAATATTTCACTCTTGGATTACCAACAGGTTATATTTTTTAAAGTTTAACCAGTTCCATTTCAGATTTCATTAGGCTGACATGATGACTTGGTAGTTTAAGTCGTGTGATGCTGTTTGCTGTTTGTGCAATGACCGGATTTAAATATGCTAAAAATTCCCGCTTGTTGCATGCTTCATGTGTGATGTGTGGTTTAGCACATTTTCATGGTAAAACGTGAGATAGGTACTCCTATGGTATTATTATTATTTATTTATATCAAATTGAAAATAATTTAATTAGGTAAGTTTTTTAGATCATTACTTGTCAAATAGTTGAAATAGTAAACATTAAATAAAAAAAAGTTAAAATATGAGTAAATTTCTGTTTTGATAACATTCAATGGCTTATGAAGTGGTTAACAGGGTTAGGGTTAGGGCCTCCCTTTTTAAAAAAATTTTCAATCATTTAACAAATATGGAGTGGTTAAAATTTCCAATCATTTGTGAAATGATTGAAAATTTTGTTAAAAATGGAGGCCCTAACCCTAACTAACCCTGTTACCACTCCATAAGCCATTAATATTTGACAAGTAATGATCTAAAATCTTACCTAAGAATTAACTGGTATTAAGTTACTTACCTAAGAATTGACTTGTATTAAATTATTTTCAATTTGATATAAATAAATAATCAAGCACTAGATAAATCAAAATGGGCGGAGTTAATTTATTAAAAGTACATTATGATTGTTTGTAAGTACCTATCTCACGTTTTACCCATTTTCATATTAGGTAGATGAACAAGAAAAAATGCATGAAAAAATTCTCAACTTAATTCCATAATCAGCAAATTATTAGCAATAGCCCAAAAAATATGTATACCAAAAACTATAAGAATGTAAAAGTTTGTTTACCACACTATGCATTTGTAAACAAAAATCGACTGGGAAAAAAACAAGGATAATGTACCAGTTCAACACATGAATTTATATTTTAAAGGAGGGTATATTTGTTCAAATATGCTGAAACATTTGATAACCTATTTTTATTGTGTAAAAAGTAAAAACGTATTTAACAGTGAAAGTGAAGTCATATATAATATACATAAATTTAATGTAGTAAAAGTGAAAAAAGCTTTATGCTTTTAAATGTTATGAAATGATTACTACATTTAATTTGTAGTTTTAAAACTTTTACTTGGACCACATTTAGTTTTTGATAATAAGAATTGAAATAAATTTTATATAATGTGGAGTTTATTTTTTTATAACAAAATTTATCAAATTTTCGACCAGGATGTCTTCATAGCTTCAATAAATTTGTAAATTTTAAAAGGATCCTTTTGCTCTTCATTCACATTCTGATAATAATTCAACAATTAATATGTAATTTCATTCAAAAGTAATAGCATGGTTCATCATCAACGCCAAAGTAAGTGCAAGGTAGACCATTTGGATACCAGCAGCCTTTTCAAACGGCCTCAATTTTCAAATATACATTAATAAATGCTTATCTTTATAAAATATATAAAAAGTTTTGATATGTGTAGAAACAGGAGAAAAGTGAATAACAACAACAAAAAACCATATATTAAGGATAAACCTTTTAAAAGATAGTTGATAAAATAATAAATTAACAAATCATAATTGTTTGCAAAATGCAAAAATTCAAAAAATGCTTCAACGTGTTTTGTCAATTTCTTTGCATTAGTGCATGCTTAAAAGTAACGTGCTAAAAATGCGAGTTGATAAATGACGCCGTTTCACTTTAACGTAAATTCAAGCATCTACCCGTGCCCTGCGACTACCTACATATAATGGACCTTCAACTTTTTTTATTTAGGTTAAACATTTGTCTGTTCAAAAGTTAACCATTTGTTTTATGAGTAAACAACCTCATTATTATTACAATTCACAAATGACATGATATTGTATGAATTTGGACTAGCTTTACCAATTGTTTTCTTTACTAGAACAACCAAATTAAAAAATTAAACAAAAGCATGATTATTATAATTTTTATTTATAATAAAATAACTCGTTATATTAGCAGGAACCAAATTATCGACAAATTATTGACAAAAAACTGACCACAGATTTTCTTAGCTAATTATAAATCAATATATGCCTAAAATTTTTAAAGTCATGTTCATTTGTTATTCTAGAAAAGCGTAGCTTATCTGCATGGTGAATTTGAATGATATTTCAATTTTCTATAGTTTGAACAATTTCCAAAAAATTCCAGTAAAAAAAATTTAAATGACAAACTTTAAATTAGTTAACAACAATTCGATAGAATTCATACTATATATTATTATAAGTTATTATGAGAAAGTATGTATATAGCGCCTTTTCTAAAATCTTACTCAAAAGCGCCAGATAAAGAACGTCAAATTAAAATACCATGCAACACAAAATCATTAAACTCAAAAATCAAAATGCTTAATAACAGAAATAGTTACTGGCTTCACTCTAGGCTGATTGTTGGTGTTGTTGAATGTACAGCTTCTGGTCCTGACGTGTTCAGGCCACGAAGTCTCATTGTAATCAAATATGAAAACCTTTGATGGATAGAATTCAAATTCAAAAATTCTATTTCATTAAAATCCATTAACACAAAATGAAAAAAACAGATTGTGCGGATTTACGGAGATTACATAAGAATAACAAAACTTGTAAAGACCACCGTGAATACAATAATCAATTTAAAAATAAGAACACACATATATACAAAAGTTGATCAATTCACTAGAAGTATGACTGACTGATGTTACCCATTACAGTTATGTCATTAACATATGCATACATACACACACATATATACAAAAGTTGATCAATTCTCTAAAAGTATGACTGACTGGTGTTACCCATTACAGTTATGTCATTGACATATGCATAAGCAGTTTAATTGCACACAATACAACATATAATCATAGTATTTAATTTAGATAGTTCATTAAATGACGACTTTGCAAATATGTAGGTTAAATAAAAATTAAACAAACAGAACAAGAAAACTAAAATTGTTTTGACTGTTTCCACCCAGAGTTAAATTAAATTGAAATGATGTCAAGGTGCTCTCTTAATTCAATGTTCGACACCTAACTGTTAAGTTCTGTGAATAATTTTTCTTGCTTCTTCGCAATATCATTTTGAACTTTGGTTTGCTTTTCAAAAACCTCATTTCACTTTTCAGCATCAATAGTTTGCTTTAACTCCGTCTCACATCCCAAACATTTACTGCTTGGATCTTAATTTTTATTAAAACCATACCAAGCCATCTGACACCTTATAATTCTGCCATAATCAGAACAAACAAATGTTGGAAACATTTTTTCATAGTCATTGTCTGATATGAAACACATCTTACTCTGGAATTTTTCAAACACCGAAGCCGTGTCAGGAACACTTGAAAATTGAATTAAACTTTTATTTTTACCTTTAAAAAGCAATTTTTGTATAAAACTATTTGCTTCATTAAAGTGTTCTTTACAATGTTCAAAAACTCCGGATGAGCAAAATTCTCCCGATTTTAAAAAATGAAGTGTAATAAATCTCCGATCAACCGTTAAAAAATTGAAAAGTTAAATAGGAAGTTAACTAACGCCGAACATGCTGTGATTTTTATCAATAATTGCATTGCAATAATTGCATTTCTGACAATCTTTTTTTTTTTTATTAGTCTTTATTATTGCAGCTCTGACATACGCAGAACCACTTACAATGTTACAGATATATATTATCTATATATCTTTTATTATGTTCTTCATATCTTCATCCATTGATATGAAGCTGCCATCTTCGCCACAAGGCTGTTTATCCTTTTCACACGACGTACACATGTATTTATGTGCACGCGCAAGCACCGCATCATATACGCTGAGTATATGATAGCCATTGAGATGTTTGACTCAGCGAGCATTTGAACCACTGAGCCATCTCGCCGGCCAACATGCGACAACTTACGTTGTCTACCCATTTACCAACCTCGAAAGGATGGACGGCTGGGTTGGCCGGGGGTCGGCTACCCGGACGAACCTGCAGAAACTGCAGAGTTCGAACCCGGTCGTGGGAGTGGTAGACGGACACTCCCACGACCAATAAATAATTGCAGAAAGCAATATATATATATAAATATATATATATATATATAATTGCAATTTTTGTTAAAATCTACCGAATTTTTAGCTTTTGAAAGTTTACGATTAAGCTTTTCATGGTCATATATTAGGTGATTTTTTCAAGGGTTGAATTTTGACGTGCAATTATTCTTAGTATCAGGTTTGCCGTTTTTGCATTCTGATAATATATTCTAAGATTTACTTTATTGTCTGAATTTCTAGGCTTCACTCTTTTGAAAACAATTTTATTTAGAATAGGCTTGTCTGTTTTAAATGCAGATGACATATAATTTCTGTCAATTAATCAATCTTCGTTTTGCGTCCAGAGACCCGGTTTCCCGAGGTAGGACGTTGTTTCCTTTGCCATCAACTTTTTGCGCCAAATTAGACGATCAGTTGTATCCATTTCATTTAAATTTAGAGCTTTCATGTCCTGCTCGAGTGTTTGCGACCAGGACTTTTTTGGACGACCTTTGGGACGTACGCCAGGTACTTCAACATTTGCAAGAGAAGTTATGGCACTGTTTCCACTTCGTTTGACATGACCAAACCACCGCAGACGGTGTTACCGGCATTCGTCCTTTATATCATCTAAACCAGCACGACGCAGGATTTCGGTAGATTTGATGTGGTCCTTCAGACTAATTCGTTGCATCCATCGGAGCATTTTCATGTCGGTTCGTTGAAGTTGTTGTTCCAGTTTGGTTGTCATTGGCCATGTTTCTGCACCATATAACAACACCGGACGTATCACAGATTTATAAAGCCTTGATCGTAGTGGTAGTGGGATGTCACGCCGCATCAATATAGAGGCAAGGAGATGCCATTTATTCCAGGCTGCACGTATGCGTGTTCGAACGGCAGCTTCAGCTGTTCCAGTACAATCCAGAACATCCCCTAGATATTGAAACGATGTGACTTTCTCTATTTTAATGGCTTCAAAAACAGTGCTATTTCGAATTTGTTGTTGTGGATTGATGCAAGCAGGATAAACAAAATTGGACACTTTTGTAAAATTTGTAATTGTAATTTAGTAAAAACATGTAATTTCTGTAGTAGAAAATTATATTCTCGCCTTGTTTGTTGTTGTTATTATTATTGAAATGTAGTTGACGGTTGATGGTATCTTGGATGGTATCGGTTTTGTAGTTGTTGTTGACAAGAACTTTGCTAATTCTAATTAGTTCGGCCTCGCGGTCGCTTATTGAAGTGGAGTGTTTAAATGCTCTATTTACAAATGCCTTTAATGTGCTGCGTTTGTATTTTTTGGTGTACTCACTTTTTTCGTTTAGACATATCCCTTTGTTTGTTTCTTCTCATAGACCGTTGTTTTGAAGCAGTTTTTATCTCGATTGATTAGCGTATCTAAAAATGATAAGGTCTTGTCGTTTTCATATTCTATAATAAATTTTATTTTAGATTTATTAAGAGTAGAGAGAAGATTTGTAATCTGGTCAAGGTTGTCGTACGTGACAAAGATATCGTCGACGTAACATGCAGTTTGGGATTTTAGTTTGGATTTTTGCGGAAGGTTTTTTTTCTAAGTTGCCAACGTAGAAATTGGCGAGGAGTATTCCGAGTAGAAAGCCCATGGCGATTCCATCTATTTATTTGTAAACAGATGGAAGTTATACACCTCAAGTCTACGAAGGCTGATTTTTTTTCATCCAGAAGTTTGTGGGCGAAATATCTTGAGGGTGAAAGTGACAAGTGGTGAAACGTCTCTGATGAGGCGAACCTCCTTTTTTTAGGGCGAAACGTTTTGAAGACGAATGTGTCAGGAGGCGAGACGTCCTGTTATTTACTAAGAACTACTTAATTTGTATCGTTTTTGCTTTCTTCACTGCAGTTTTTCTTTTACCCTATTACCAAATCATTTAATCTTTCAAGCCGTGTAATTTGCATTTTGCGATTGTGTTTGCTTGCTAACTCAATTCAGTTTCAAGAGCCCTTTCAGAACATTTAAAAAATTTTCAAGTTATGTAACAACATTAAATAACCAATATCAATTTGTTAATTCAATAGCTTATTAATTTTCAAATTTTATAAATTTACATTATATTTGTTAATTTGGGTTTATGTAGTCAAACTTTTTCTTCCATTGCATTTTTAATACTGGAATATAACGTGTAAAAAAAAATTTAATCTGATTTTATTTCTTTATTTTTTAGGTAGCACTCCTTTAGGTACTTATAAAAAATTAGTCGAATACTATCAAAGAAATGAATTGACGTTTAAATATGTAAAAACTTTCAACATGGATGAGTACGTCGGTTAGTTATCTTCAAGATAATTTGATTATCGTTATTCATTAATCTAAGACTTGTTATACTTTTATAGCGTACTTCAAGTTTGCCAATTTTGATATTTTTCTTATAGTAATACTTTTTTTAAAAAGTTGAGACTTTGTTGTTGTATCGCTAAATGATTAAAAACTGAGTTGTTTTCACTGAACTAGTCCGGTGGTCGATTGCAGTACAGTGGTTTGGCTCTGCCAGACTACCAAAAAGGTGTTGTGTTAAGGTTTGAAATTATGATGGTTGCATCTGTTTTGTGAGCTGGTTGCAGTAGATTCTGCATTTTTGTCATGCAGCCATAATTGATTCTACATCTTGATGTTAATGGATTTTACCCCATCTTCTTAACCATTAGGTTATTGTTTGTGGAACCTAATTCTGGACTACCTAAGTGGCCATGTACTACATAAAAATCTTGAATGACTTCCAAGTTCCACCCATCAACTCTCTGTTCAGGTTCACCAGCCCATACATCAGTTGATAGATCAAATATTTATTAATGCTAAATAGCTGCCTCAAAAACATCAGCATCAACTGCAACAAAACATTTACAAACAACATACATAAAAGCAAAGCCTTGTGGAGCATGTTCAATTAGATCAGATGTTCTGTGAAATCTTTAAACAATTCAACGTGTCAAAGCTGACATGCTCAACATTAACTTTGCTTCTGTGTCGACTAACCTGCCCTACAAACACCTCTACTAAAATCAACCACCATTAATCATCATCAGCAGCAACAATCGTTTACAACATTCAGTTTTCTGTTCATGCTAACAAAGGCTTGTCCATCTGGCACACCGTCCAATCATCACAATCATTATTTTTGCATATCCATTTATACCATCAGAATGGAAATCCAGCATTATTCATTCCGCTCCTAAAGCAAAGTATCCCTTGTTTCCACTAAAATATCATCAAATGTCAATCACTCCCATCCTTTTAGCTATTCTAGAAAAATTCATAATTAGGTCATTTATCTATCAATGTTTCAATCATTTTTCAACCAAACCACTACTATCAGATCAATATCCATTTGCATCTTTTTCACTTTTACATTTCTTTTTTAAAATAATGATCTTCTTCACCTAATCACTATTGCCTTTTATAAAGCTTTTGATACTCTGAATTTTTTTTGTCAATAACTTCAATCAATCAATCAATTAATCTTCGTTTTGCGTCCAGAGACCCGGTTTCCCGAGGTAGGACGTTGTTTTCTTTGCCATCAACTTTTTGCGCCAAATTAGACGATCAGTTGGATCCATTTCATTTAAATTTAGAGCTTTCATGTCTTGCTCGATTGTTTGCGACCAGGACTTCTTTGGACGGCCTTTGGGACGTGTGCCAGGTACTTCAACATCTGCAAGAGAAGTTATGGCACTGTTTCCACTTCGTTTGACATGACCAAACCACCGCAGACGGTATTGCCGGCATTCGTCCTTTATATCATCTAAACCAGCACGACGCAGGATTTCGGTAGATTTGATGTGGTTCTTCAGACTAATTCGTTGCATCTATCGGAGCATTTTCATGTCGGTTCGTTGAAGTTGTTGTTCCAGTTTGGTTGTCATTGGCCATGTTTCTGCACCATATAACAACACCGGACGTATCACAGATTTATAAAGTCTTGATCGTAGTGGTAGTGGGGTGTCACGCCGCATCAATATAGAGGCAAGGAGATGCCATTTATTCCAGACTGCACGTATGCGTGCTCGAACGGCAGCTTCAGCTGTTCCAGTACAATCCAGAACATCCCCTAGATATTGAAACGATGTGACTTTCTCTACCTTAATGGCTTCAAAAACAGTGCTATTTCGAATTTGTTGTTGTGGATTGATGCAAGCAGGACAAACAAAATTGGACACATTAGATAAAGTACCAATTATTTTTGAACTACGTTTGTGATACCACTTGTTACACTGCTGACACTTGATTGAATTCTTACCTACACCAGCTTTACAAACTGAACAGGGCCACCGTCCAGTAGCAGTAGATTGGATGGGTTCACCAGTGTTCATTGCTTTGGTTTTGCTGATGTTGACTTTGAATCCATGATCGGCGAGTCTGGTGTTCCAGACCTTCAAAGCATCTGTCCTGCATTCTGCTCAGACGTGGCTGTTAAAACGATATCATCAGCATATACTTGATTCCAAATGTCACCAGTGCGTATCGGTTTTGTGATTTCTTCCATCACAGTTATATATAACAGTGGACTGAGAATCGAGCCTTGGTGAACTCCAACGCCGATGTCAAATGCATTTGTGTTTCCAACCGTTGTGCTGACAAGTGTCTTAGTATTCGTATACATTTCCATCACAAGTCGAACAAGATATTCTGGAATATCTTGTTCGACGTAGACTCCACCTGATTGCTTCACGAGGAACTCGATCAAATGCTTTTTCAAGGTCTACAAAAATGTGTGATAGTTGTTGATGCTTTGCGAGGTACATCTCTTGCAGTTGCCGAAGGATGTGAATTGCATCAATTGTTAATTTCCCCGCTAGAAAACCAAATTGATAATTTCCGATTGTGATGCACGACGTTAATCTTCTCTCAATGATTTTCTCGACATTTTTCAGGGAGTGTTTTAACAGACGTATATCCCGATATGATGAACAGTTCATTGGATCACTTTTGCCTTTGTATAGCGGGACTGTCATGCTATAATTCCATTCAATCAGCATTGAGCAATTTCTCCAGATTTCACGGCAAAGTTGTAGTAACGTTTGGATACCGGATGCTTTGATAATGTCATTTGTGAGTCCAAAGGGTCCTGCTGCCTTTTCATCCTTCATAGCTTTCAGAGCTTCTGTAAGCTTCTCTACAGTGATGTCTGGTATCGGACCTTTGATGGGTGGAGCGTCAAAGTTGACATTGATGGGATTTGTTTCATTTAACAGACGGCTAAAATATTCTTTCCACTGTAGCTTGATCTCATCTTGTTCAAGAACCATCTCATTTTTGTCCTTTTTGATAAATGAGACACCAACTATGTCTTTTTTCGTACGCTTTGCTTGTTTTGCTATACGATACAGAGATTTCATTTGTTCACCTTTACTTTTAGTGAGCTACTCTCTGCACTGATCTGTCCGAGCCAGTGCAACTTGACTTCTTGCATAGTTCTTCTCACGGAAAATTTTATGGTCATCAACAGACTTTGATTTTTGCCATTGCTTGTATGCAACTTTCTTTTCAGTTATTGCATTTTGTACACTGTCATTCCACCACCAAGCGTCACGTTCATGCTGACGTTTTGTACCAGTTTTCCCACAAACTGTAGTTGCAGCGTTCATCAAAACGGTTGTGTATGTACTCTAATCTGTACTGGCTTGCGATTGGTGGTCTAACTGTGTGGCGACAATCTGTTGAAATTTTTCTCGATGAATATTGCATTTCAGCTTCCACGTTTTGATTCTCCGAGGCATTTGTTTAGACTTATGTTTTGACAGTTCGACAACCAGGTCTGCCACAAGGAATCTATGTTGGTCGACACATGATTCGCCAGGTATAACTTTGACGTTTTTGAATAGCCTTCGGTGTTGTTGCTTGACAGCGAAGAAATCAATTTGTATGTTATGAGATGTTTTAATCTCTTTTTAAAATATGTGTTCAGTAAACAAAACCCGTGACTTTCTGCAAACTCAAAGATGCGGTTGCCATATTCATTCCGTTCTCCATAGCCAAAACCTCCATGCACGATGTCAAAACCATCTGTTTTCTCTCCAACGTGGACATTGAGATCGCCTCCAATCAAGATTTTTTCAGATTTTGGTATTGTTGAGATGGTGTCAGAGAACGCAGTCCAGAAGTCATTTTTCATTTCTTCTGAATAGCCTGTCTATGGTGCGTATGCAGAAAAAATAGTCATTGTTTGCTTTTCTAGGCGAATTTTGATCCACATGAGACGTGAGTTAATCTTTTTAATATCCAGTACTTCTTGGGCTAGCGGTTCTCTGACAAAAATTCCAACACCATTTTTGGCCGTCTTTTGACCATTCCAGAATAGTTTATATGTATTTTTTTTATTTTTTGTTTATTTATTTTTTTTTTAATTTTTTTTTATATTATATATATATATATATATATAATTTTTTTTTTATTTTTTTTTTTTTTATCGTTCACATCTATCACATCAACTATTTCAATTAATTTAGTGTTGTTCAAGAATCCGACTTTGCGCCTTTTGTTTTTATTGTTAAAACCGTTATTCTTTAAATAACCATAGTTCCAATTTTTGTAGTTATTCTACATTCTATGTTACATGTTATTCTACACACCACTCGACACACGTATACATCATATATGCATGAACGCGCAAGCACCGCATAATACGCGTATGATGGTCTTTTTGAATTGCGGACAGACAGTATTCGAACCATCGCGTAATAGCAGCGCGAGACATGGCACTCCTGCCATAATTCGATGTGAACTAACTCAATGACCGAAATTAATAAATGTGCTAACGACACTTTTCGCTCCATCATCTAACACAAACACCATCCAATCAGAACTCAATTCTTTAATTATATTGTCTAAACAATGCAATCTGTCTCATAATCCTAATAATCATTTGAACTCATCGTTCTTATAAGAATATAATTTTACAAAGCTTTTCAAACATCCTTTTATCACATCCACGAATCACTTTAACATATTAGGCACTGCATTTACTTTTACACTCAACGTTGTTCCAAATAAATGCCACAGCATCACAAAAAATTTCAGACTGTTTATTCCCTCTAAACACTAATTCACATGTTTTAAAGTACAGGTTATTCAACATAACAGAATCACTCATCATCTCACACAACAAGTACACAGGTCCTTCCTAGTCTGGCTTCACCACACGACAAAAACTACAAACTTTCCTCAAAAAATTAATAACACTCGTCTACCCTCCAATCTCACTCAAATATTCAACACACATAATACCAGGTTATTAAAAATGTTATAAAAAAGTTCTCATGTCATCCACCCTCTACTACTGTCTACTACTACCACTCACAACCTCCATTTATGCCTACCAAATCACCACTTTGTCAACTTGTCTTGAAAAAATTTTCTTTCCCAGATATCTCAAACATCTAAATGGTCAACAATCTGTCATCTGTTCAATTTTTTATTATATAGGTTCTTTTTCATTTATTATTTGCTTATACTTGTTATGTGTTATAAACTGTGTCTAAAATAAAACTCTACAACGTTTACATCAACCCGTGCTGATGTACGGATGTGATTCGGGCTGTGCATCAGGGTCTACCATCGACATCCCCCTGAAGAAACAGATCAATGATGCTGGCACAGGTCCCTACCATAGTCATGATACAAACATCCAAGTTAGAAAGATAACACAACAGCCGCCAATCTCCACGCTCTTTTTTTAAACGTCGCCTTACCCTGTTCGCCCTACGAAGGGTCACCATAGTTATTAAAACTGCCTTGGATCGACTTACAGCCGGTTGGACTCGATCACGTGGCCGCCCAGGACAGACCTGGATGCGCTCGGTATAGGCGGACCTATTGCTTGTCAACACTGAAGTACATTCAACCTGGAGACATACTGGCGACCGCACAAAATTGAGACGACTAGTGGATACTGAAACGTATCGCGATGTGGCTCGCCTATGATATTATACTTTGTTATACAATAAGCATTTCTAATAATAAAAAGTTTTTTCACATCTAGATTTGTATTTTGTGTTGTTATTTGTGCACTTTATTTATTTAGAAAAATATACTCAATAGTTTTTTTTACATGTTTCTCAACTATATAACGTTTATATACATCTTCAACGGCATAGGGCCAAAACTTTAAAAATGTCATTTGTTTATATTTTTCTATTTTCTCATCTGTCATATTTTCATTTGCTGTTTTACATGTTTTTATTTAATTTTAATATATTCTGTGTTTGTCATATTTTGATATTTTTTTAAAGTTTTGAACATTTTTATTGTCGACTAAATTAGAGATTTTTTTTTATTAATGATCATGAAATATTGAAATTTTGAAATTTAATAAGATTTGAGAAATATGCAAAGTACTGGTGTTCATGTTTGAATGTTTTTAATTATTACTGTTATTAAACTAGGTCTTGCACGAGATCATCCAGAGAGTTACCATTCTTTCATGTGGAACAACTTGTTCAAGCTTGTTGATATCGATCCAGAAAATGTTCATATACTTGATGGACAAGTTTGTCTATTATACTTTCATTCTTGTTATACTTACATCTTTATGTTTTTGTAATTATTTCAAATTAAATAGAGATTAAAACTAAATGGACTTAAATAATACTAGCTATATCCGCTTGGTCTTGCCAGTTCTTGTAATTTTAAGAGCCGTAAAATATACCGAAATGTATCGAAATGTACCGAAATGGACTTAAATAATACTAGCTATATCGGCATGGTCTTGCCAGTTCTTGAGAGCCGTATAATATACCGAAATGTATGTATTATTTATTGAAATTAAATATATTATTCAAGCCGAACTTTCTACTAAAGAGAGAACCCTTGCATTCTAATGTGACGTCACCGAATTTTTTCCTGTTCTGTATGGCCGCGTTTACTCAACCTTGTTAATTTTTAAAAATGAAAATTTTTCACAATTATCAAATCTTTTCAATTTTTACTTATTTCAATATTTTCTCCATTGACAACAGAATGAAAACTTATTTTTTTTGTATACTTTTATATTATTCAGTTGTAAACACGATAGAAAAATCGTTCTAAACCAAAATTAGTGTTTAGTGTGATGAAATTCAGCCTTTAATCTTAACTGTTATATTTTGGTCACGACAACTTTTGTAGAATATTGAAAGTCCATTTTTCGCAATTATTTTTGAGGATGAGGAATATTTTTCTATGCCGTCAAAAACAAAAACAATGACCCCTAGTCCCCAGCAGGCCTTAAGTGGTCAAGGGGTGCTAAGAATCCCTGGGAAGTATGCAATAGCGGAGGGATGTTGCAGAAAAATTCAGAATGGCCCCTCTATGTTACTTAGGTCTAATTAGGCGAAAAAAATTGATGGCAAAGAAAACAACGTTCTACCTCGGGGAACCGGGTCTCTGGACACTAAACGAAGATTGATTGATTGATTTTTAGGGATGTATTGCGTGAACTGCATATTCAATGAAATTTTAATATTTAAGACGCTGAGTGTTTATTTTTCTCTGAGATAATTTCAAATTTTTCACTCAATAGTTTGATATTTTTGTCGAATAGGCAGCTGATTTACAAAAAGAATGTAGTGATTTTGAAGAGAAAATCAAGTTGGCTGGCGGTATTGAGCTTTTTATTGGAGGTAATTTTTATTAAACTTTTTTAAATTGTTGTTATAAAGTATAATTCGTTTAATTTTGTACTACTGCCTTGCATGCTGTAACAGTTTCTGCGTCTGTCAGATCCTGATATTTAAAGAATAATAAATAAAAAATAATTCCACAAACAAATGTGTTACTAAATAATTATACAGTGTTGATGCAAAAATACGTTATTGTATACTAATCATTATTCTTAATTATTGATACATTAAATAACGATGCACGGCCGAATTGAATTTTTCGTTGTCTGATTAATGAAAGGCAATAGATTATATTTTGCTGCATGAGTCAACAGGTTGCCAGTTTCATGATCTTCAATATTGATTGTTTTAAATATAATATTAACATTTATATTTCGATCAGTTGTATCCATTTCGTTTAAATTTAGAACTTTCATGTCTTGTTCGATTGTTTGCGACCAGGACTTCTTTGGACTGCCTTTGGGACATGTGCCAGGTACTTCAACATCTGCAAGAGAAGTTATGGCACTGTTTCCACTTCGTTTGACATGACCAAACCACTTCAGACGTCCTTTATATCATCTAAACCAGCACGACGCAGGATTTCGGTAGATTTGATGTGGTCTTTCAGACTAATTCGTTGCCATCCATTGGAGCATTTTCATATCGGTCCGGTGAAAATGTTGTCCCAATATGGTTGTCATTGGCCATGTTTCTGCACCATATAACAACACAGTACGTATCACAGATTTATAAAGGTTGTAGTGGTAGTAGGATGTCACGTCGCATCAATATAGAGGCAAGGAGATGCCATTTATTCCAGGCTGCACGTATGCGTGCTCGAACGGCAGCTTCAACTGTTCCAGTACAATCCAGAACATCTTAGAACCCTTGACCGCTTAAGGCCTGCTGGGGACTAGGGGCCGTTGTTTTTTTGTGACGGCATGGAATAAAGATTTTGAAAACTTTGAGAACAAATCAAAAATTTTAAAAATATTTTAAAAATGAAAACAGTTTTAAAAAGTTTAAAATGTTATTTGTCTCAGTGCAAACTGCTTTTAAAAATTTTATTCACTTTCATTATCATTTTCTTCGTCTGATGGGATAGCAGAAGCCTTTGCCTCTGCAGTAGTTAAGGCTGAAGCAGCTGCTTTTTCAATGTAGGCTGCTATCGCATCCATTGTTTTGACACCCTCATCAGATCCAACTCTTTTTTCATCTTTAGCTTTGACGGTTTTTCTTTTTTGGTTCCTTTGATTTTGACAGTTTGTCTTTTTGGTTCCTTTGATTTTGACAGTTTGTCGCCAACTTTTGATTTCAAATCTTTCACTTGTTGAACTTTTATTTTTATGTTATTTATATTTTATTTATATTTTAATTTATTTATAATTATTATTTGTATATAAATTATAAATATTATATGTATTATATATATATATATATATATATATATGTTGGTAATAGACTGTAAAAATATATATATACATATATGTTATTATGCATATATATATATATATATATATATATATATATATAATATATTAATTAGTATTATTACAGTTTTAATATTATTAAAAATATATACAAATAATTTCGAAAAAAAAACATGAAATTGTAATGAAAAATTTTAACAACGAAAATTTTTAAATTGTTTAAACGATAGTTGTCAAGGCGGCAAAAACAGCGTCATAATTGTGAGACGCGAAATTAATTAATTAATTTATCATTATTGTTATTATTATTATTGTCTTTATTATTATTATTGTATTTATTATTATTATTGTTGTTGTTGATGGTGTTGTTGATTGTTGTATAGAATTTTTGTGTTGTTATCTAGAAGGTTTCTAGTTATTGGGGTGTTGTGGTAAGTTTCAAGATGGTTTTTTATTGCACCGTATCTTTTGTGCATTGTGAGTCTACGCGATAGTGTTGTAGTAGTCATCCTTATATAGGAGGTTTGAAGACGCGCACAGTCGTCAAGAGGACAAGAAAATTTATATATGAAATGACTACGTTTCAAAAGGGAAGTGTTGTGAGGTAGGCAATTATTCAAAATTAAAAGGTTAGATGTTTTGTAGTTTTTGTAAAAGATTCTTAATTTTATTCTATCGTTCGGGTTAATTGGTTTAATATTATTATGGATTATCTTCTTCATGATCTTTTCATCAGTTTTGTAGGACGAAGACATGAAATTTCGATAATATAGTATAATGGTGTTATTATTATTATTATTGTTGTTGTTGATGTTGTTTGTGCTAATGGCATTATCGTTGCTGTTATCGTTATTGCTAGTGTCATTACAATTGTTGATATTGTTGTTGTTAATATTATTATCGTTGTTGTTATTGTTGTTGTTACTGTTAACATAATTGCCGTTGTTGTTATTGTTGTTGACGTAATTACCGTTGCAGTTAATGTTATTGTTGTTAATGTTATTACCGTTGTTGTTGTTGTTATTATTATTACCTTTATGGTTATTGTTGATAATGGTGACAATATTAATATTGTTGTTGTTGTTTTTTTGGTTCATACGTTGTAACTTTTTATTGATGACATTTTTAATTAGATCTACACTGTAATTATTATTTATAAGAAGATTTGTGACATGTGACACGTTTGATTTCTGATAAAACGTCGTCTGAGGATGAGGAGTGATTGATGAATGATCTTACTGTACTCAATTTATATTCATCAGTACATTCACTACTTCCGTTTAAACATATTACTTTATTAGTACCTTTAATGGAGACGGAGGTTTGAAAGTTGTGTTGGAAAGGACCAACCACTACAAAATCTTTATCAGCTGTTTTGGGATTGCAACAGCTAACATAAAGCATGTCCAAATCGGCTGATATAAGATTTTCACGAAACGACATCAATGAAACTTTAATACATTTATCTGCTAAGTATTTTAGAGATAAACCGTTTAAACTTTTAAATTTCCAATTTGAACATGACTAGTTGTCTAACAGGCAGCTAGTGTAAATCCTTTAGGTGTGGGATGCGTGATCAAATTTTAATTTCCGATATATCACTTTAGCAGCCTGGTTCTGAACCATCCGAAGTTTCGATAACAATTTATCAACTACATAATATAAAGGACTATTAGATTATTTGTTTGACTTTCATATACTGTCACATGGTTTATTTTTGTTTATAACATGGACACTATTGTTTGATTACATATATTCTGTTATATAAATGTATTATTTCTAAGACGTGACTAAGTATGTCAGGTGATCATCTAAGGTTTATGTATGTGTTAAAGAGAAATAATGTTGAAGGCAATCTTGAAAAAAAATTGATTTTAAGCTGTTTGTCAAATGCGGGGTACAGCTGTATGTTATAATGTTATGTAAATTATTTAATTTCGTGTTATTGAGCTTATGAATCTTGCTAAAAATTTATTTCTATAGCGTTACAAAGTAAAGCTTTAGAGTAATAACAAAGTATAACGTTGAAGTATTAATTTTAATATTAACTTAAAACGGTTATTAGTCAGTTTGAATACTATATTATGCAAAATTACGACTATCAACTATTAAAAATCAAAATTATCCTTACCAAATTCAAACTGTATCCAGCACCAAGTTCGCGGATGAGCGCGTGCTTATCAGTTTTAAAAAATATTTAAATAGGCTATGGGATAGACAATTTCATGGGGAGGCCTGTCAAGCACGACGATCTCAAATCAGCTTGGCTATATGAGACCAGAACAAAAGATACTAAATATGCTTAAATATTATGGATATGCATAAAATAAACCCATTAAAAAATTATCAAATTAAATAAAATATAAAAAAATGAATAAATGTTTATTAATAAACTATAAAAATGTAACAATTGTAAAATTTGATGAAGTTTTTATGGAAACTAAAGAATGAGACCAGACTCTAAATCGCACTAAAAATGTGCGCGGATGCGTTCGAGGGTCAGTAAGTGTATTATTAATTCAAGCGCAATTATGTTAATGTATTTATTTCAATTTTTTATTTTTTTAACATAATAATTATATTTATTTAATTTATTTTTTAGGTTTTTTTTATATTTTTATTATTGTGTGTGGTCTAAATTTAAATAAAAACTTAGTAAACTGAATAGAAATTGTTGAAATAATTTATAATTAAATTAGATTAAAATGTCTTTATACATCTACCAAAAAATATTTATTTGTTGTTTTATTTATAAATAAATTTTAACTTAATTTAAGTAATATTTATTTTTTAATATAATAACATATTAAATAATGGGTACAAACTAAAAGTCAGTATACTCTTATCAAAGTCAAGTAAAATTATTGAAATATCAAATAATTATATTCAATTTTTGATCATGAACAAAGTCTGTATTTCACATATATTTAGGTCTTACTCAGTTATTCAAGAGTAGATTTACTGCATACAAGGATCTTTTATGTTGCCTGTCATGATGTTTTAAGGCATTATCAAGTCACCATGAATTTTTCTAAACTTTAGAGAAGCTAAACTCAATAACCTTGAGCGATATGTATAGCTGAGTCCTCTGCATTCACGAACCATCTTTGTTGCACGTCTTTGAACTCTTTCTTTATTTTCCATTAACCACACATTGACTGCGTAATCCAGCATTGATCGTATCAAATATTTTCTTTTCAGTTGTCACTATTTTATTTCAGCCTGAAAAATATTTAATATTCCAATTTAATTTTCCCGTTACTTCCAATGTTATATTTTTTTTAGTCTCTGGCATACGCAGAACCACTTACAATGTTACAGATATATATTATCTGTATATCTTTTATGTTCTTCATTTCTTCAACCATTGATTTGAAGCAGCCATCTTCGCCACAAAGGCTATTTATCCTTTTCACACGACGTATACATGTATTTATGTGCACGCGCAAGCACCGCATCATATACGCTGAGTATATGATAGCCATTGAGATGTTTGACTCAGCGCGCATTTTGAACCACTGAGCCATCTCGCCGGCCAACATGCGACAACTTACGTCGTCTACCCATTTACCAACCTTGAAAGGAAGGACGGCTGGGTTGGCCGGGGGTCGGCTACCCGGATGAACCTGTAGAAACTGCAGAATTCGAACCCGGGTCGTGGGAGCGGTAGACGGACACGCTAACCACTCGGCCACGAGACCCCAATTAACCATTATATCGAATTTTATTACAGGCATTGGTCCAGATGGGCATATAGCATTCAACGAACCTGGTTCTAGTTTAGTATCACGAACACGAGTTAAAACCTTGGCTGTAGACACAATACAGGCTAATGCCAAATTTTTTGGCGGTGATATTGATAAAGTTCCTACTCAGGCCCTCACTGTTGGCGTGGGAACAGTCATGGATGCCAATGAGGTAATTTATAACTATTTATAAATTTGAGTTATTCTTATGTTTACAAAGTTTACGAATAATTTTTGAAACTTCCTAATGTAAAATGAATGAATCAATAGGTTATTTGATCTGTAGTTTATTTGCTTGCGTTGTTTAGAAGTGTAAGAAATTTTGTAATAATTAAAATAAGTTTCTGATACGTTTTGGATTCTGCTGTAAAAAAAAATAAAAATTTGTAAATAATGTATTACAGAATTTCGCTTATATACTTTTCAAAACAACTGAATTTTTTTTATTTTAGGTCATGGTTTTAATCACTGGAGCCCATAAATCTTTAGCATTGTTCAAAGCAATAGAAGAAGGAGTTAATCACATGTGGACAGTATCAGCATTTCAGCAACATCCGCGAACGATTTTTGTCTGTGACGAGGATGCTACTCTGGAATTGAAGGTTTTTTTTATCTTGTTGCATATGAACGTTTATATTACTTGATTTTAGCTCAAAGATTATCATGTAATTATCATTGCTGCCCACACCAGCTTTTCAAACCGAGAAAATGCAACGACCAATGGTTACGGGTTTGATAGATTCACCGGTGTTCATCACTTTTGTTTTGGCAATGTTGACTTTTAACCCTTGGTCGGTAATTCGGGTAATCTACACTTTGAAAATTTGCGCCGCCCTTTGTTTTGATGTTATCGGCATACTTTAGATTTCCAAATGCTGTCGATGCGTATTCATGTTTCCGGTCGTTGTGCTGATAAGTGTCTTAGCATTTGTTTACGTTGCCTTGACTAGTTGAACAAGATATTCTGGAACGTTTTGTCGCTACGGATCGCCAGCTGAGGAACAAACGTTTTATCAGGGTCTACAAAAACGTGCGATAATTGTTGATGTTTTGCTATATATTTCTGTTGTAGATACTGAATAATGTAAATTAAATCGATAGTGGATTTTCCAGCCATTAAACAAAACTGGAAGCTACAGATTGTGGTAGATGACGTTAACATCTTCTCAACAATTTTCAAAAGATGTTCTAACAGACGTATACCTCGATATGGTTACCAGTTCAATAGGCCGCCTTTGTTTTTGTATAACGATGCTGTCGTACTCGAATTCCGTTCAATCAGCATTGAACAATTTTTGCAGGTCTTGTGGCAAATTTTTAATAGTGCTCTGCTACTTACATTCTAGATGCTTTAATGATATCGCTCTTGAGCCCCGATGGTTCAGCCACTTTGCCATTTTTCATAGCTTTCAGAGTTTCTGTGAGCTAAATTGTTGTGATGACAATTGTTGTGATGACTAAAATTGGACCTTTGACGGGCTAGGCATTAAAGTCTATGTTGATGGGTTTCGTTTCATTCGGCAGGTGAATAGAGTATTCTTTTCTTTCCAATGCAATTTGGCCTTCTTCAGTTTAGGAATATCACAGCATTGCAGGCATTGTTCAATTTGCTATTGAGTTTTTTAGTTTTTCGTACGAGAAATTTCAGTTCATTATCAAGTTTGTTCAATTCATAAACAAACCTAACCAATTAAAATTTTAGGTTTTTGCGTTTTTGTTCAAATATATTTATTATTATGCTGCCTATTGTATGGTTTGTCTAAGCGTATGCTGCATTGGAAAAGTTTCATATATATGTATCAAGTCGTTTTATTTTTACACTGTAAAAAGTTAGATTTGTTTTGTGTGAGATCGAATTTTTTTTTAAATTTTGTTCTTGATTTCCGACATAGATCTCGACTTTTTGAGATATGCGAACTGTCCGAAAATGGACAATACAGCCGGTGAACCGGCCAAAAGATTTCACTAATGGTGCGGAAAGATGTGAAAAAAGTGAAAGAGTTGGAAGCAAGAGATGAGAAGGATTTTTTAAAAATCGAAAGATTGAAGACGGATCTCAAATTGGTCAGGAATTCTGTTCTCATGGCTGCAAAAAAAATTGAGAGAATTTTAAAAAATTCAGATCTGTTTAGATTATTCCAGATTCGACAGAAGCTGATAGACAACTGGAATATAAATTGAGACTGGAAAGAAACAAACTGAATGCAGAACTCGATGCAGACTCGTGCTTTTGATATGGTATCTGGTGCAGAGATTCAAGAAATTTTATTTATTTAGATTCAACTTATGATAGAGCACAGACACAACAAACACCCTACATTGTATGTATTTAAATGCTACTTTTTTAGATAAAAAAAACTGAATGAATTTAGAGTTGTTGTTGAGACATATAATCCATCGGTTATTGGTGTAAGTGAAACATGGTTTAAAGATAGCTCAATTGTTAATATAAACAACTTTAATGTATATAGAAAAGATAGAAATGACGGACGTAGTGGTGGTGGAGTGTGTCTGTTTATCAATTCATCTGTCAATTCTTATGAAGTCAAGGGTGCAGTTTTCAATAAGAACAAAATTGAACGAGTATGGGCAGTTATTTGTCTTGATCATGATAAATATTTGGTGGGTTGTATCTATAGACCAAATTATTTTATGTATGTGATTGATCTTGAACTTGTCTTCAAACAAGCCAAATATAACGTTGACAATAAGGGTTTTAAAGATGTTCTGAAAATGGGAGACTTTAATTTAATAGTTAAATGGGTCAATTTTAACCATTAAAATGTCAGTGGCATTGAACACAAATTTAGCGACATAACTAACGACACGTTCCGCATTCAACATGCTAAAAAGTACAATAGTGTAACAGACAACATTTTGGATTTGATTTTTACAACGGAATCAGGAAATTTATGTGCAGTAGATCCAATTTTTGTTCTCGGTAATTTTAATCAGGGTCATCTCATTTGTACCTTTGATTTAGTTGTAGAAAATGTCCGCCCAGTTCAACAAAAGTTTTTACACAAATTTTTATATAATAAAGAAAATTTTAGGGAAATATCTCGAGTGATATCTAATGTAGATTGGACTAAATTAATTGAAAGCATGGCTGTACAACAAAGGTATCACGAATTTTTTTATTACATAAGTGAGATAATCAATATTTTTGTACCCATAGTCGATGCAACAAAACGTCGTAATGAAACAGCTCCATGGATTAACTCACATTTAAAATCACTTGATTGAAGAAAAAAGTGTTTCAAATATGAAAAAAACATTTGTAAATGGAAGGATAAAAATCTACGTACGTGCTAGATCTCAATATAAGATTTTTGCAAATATTTAAATCTGAAATCGACAAAGAACGTCTTCATTATGAGCAAACTTAGGTGAACGAGCTGACGATAATCTCAAAATTCTTTACAAATATCTTAATAGTCAACAAACAGGGAAAGATTCGATTAAGTCTTTAATAAAACCTAATGACAAACTAATTCATATCCTTCGGCAACTGCAAGAGAAGTACCTCACAAAGCATCAACAACTATCACACATTTTTGTAGACCTTGAAAAAACATTTGATCGAGTTCCCAGTAAAGCAATCAGGTGGAGTCTACGTCGACAACTCATTCCAGAATATCTTGTTCGACTTGTGATGGAAATGTATACGAATACTAAGACTCCCGTCAGCACAACGGTTGGAAATACAGATGCATTTGACATCGGCGTTGGAGTTCACCAAGGCTCGATTCTCAGTCCACTGTTATTTATAACTGTGATGGAAGAAATCACAAAACCGATACGCACTAGTGACATTTGGAATCTATTATATGCTGTTGATATCGTTTTAACAGCCACGTCTGAGCAGAATGCAGCACAGATGTTTTGAAGGTCTGGAACACCAGACTCACCGATCATGGATTCAAAGCCAACATCAGCAAAACCAAAGCAATGAACACTGGTGAACCCATCCAATCTACTGCTACTGGACGGTGGCCCTGTTCAGTTTGTAAAACTGGTGTAGGTAACAATTCAATCAAGTGTCAGCAGTGTAACCAGTGGTGTCACAAACGTTGTTCAAAAATAATTGGTACTGTATCTAAAGTGTCCAATTTTGTTTGTCCTGCCCTGCTTGCATCAATCCAGAACATCAAATTCGAAATAGCACTGTTTTTGAAGCCATTAAATTAAGGTAGAGAAAATCACATCGTTTCAATATCTAGAGGATGTGGATGTTCTGGATTGTACTGGAACAGCTGAAGCTGCCGTTCGAGCACGCATACGTGCAGCCTGGAATACGTGCAGCCGCATCAATATAGAGGCATCTCCTTGCCTCTATATTGATGCGGCGTGCCATCCCACTACCACTACAATCTTTATAAATCTGTGATACGTCCAGTGTTGTTATACGGTGCCGAAACAAGGCCAATGACAACCAAATTGGAACAACAATTTCACCGAACCGATATGAAAATGCTCCGATGGATGCAACGAATTAGTCTGAAGGACCACATCAAATCTACCGAAATCCTGCGTCGTTCTGGTTTAGATGATATAAAGGACGAATGCCGGCAACACCGTCTGCGGTGGTTTGGTCATGTCAAACGAAGTGGAAACAGTGCCATAACTTCTCTTGCAGATGTTGAAGTACCTGGCACATGTCCCAAAGTCCGTCCAAGAAGTCCTGGTCGCAAACAATCGATCAAGACATGAAAACTTTAAATTTAAATGAAATGGATACAGCTGATCTCCAAATTTGGCGCAAAAATTGATGGCTAAGAAAAGAACGTCCTTTCTCGGGGGAATTGGGTCTCTGCAACTAAACGAAGATTGATTGATATTGTAGTAGTCCTGCTTGATTTACCAAGACATTTGATACTGTTCCTCACAGAAGATTATTAGCTAAATTAAAGGCTCATGGAATAAATTGATTGGTGTATAAATAAGTTGAATCGTTTCTTAAAAATAGAAGACAAAGAATTGTTCAAGGTGAAACTATTTCTGACTGGGCTGAAATTTTTAGTGGTGTTTCTCAGGGCTTTGTTATTGGTTTTCTACTCTTCATTCTCTACGTCAATGACTTACCAACTAATCTGAAAAATACAACAAAACTGCAGATGATACTAAAATCATGAGAACAATATCTTCAGATAAGGGTGTAGTCGAACTTCATTTTGATTTGAATGAAGCATTTAAGTGGACACAAAACTGGCTTCTACAGATCTAAGGGGTGATAGTGAGGTGATCGAAAAAGTCCAGCGCAGAGCAACAAACAAACCTAGCTAACGAAGATCGTCTTAAAACATTAGGATTAACAACTTTGGTGGGAAGAAAAAGAGGAGATTTGATTCAGTTGTTTAAAACCAGGCACAATTCGGACAAAGTTGATTTAAATAATCGTTTTAGCATAGTCAAAACCAAAACGCGAGGTCAAAGCTTGAAATATTTTAAAGAATTAACAAGACATAGAAGCAGAAAGAATTATTTATTTAATAGAGTGACAGAGTGGCAAATACTTGAAACTCGTTACCAAATGAACTCGTTGAGGCTCAATCAATAAATAATTTTGAAGCAGTTATTGATTGTTGGATGAACAAAAATCAATCAACGAATCGGCTGTGCTAGCATGCCTGTCAGCATGCTCTCTGGATATATTCCAGAACAGCATTACTACTCTTACTACTATCTGTTTATTAGTTTATTCTACCAACGAGATTTAAATTGTTATAATTTTTTTATTATTCTTAAAAAAAATCATAATTCTTAAAAAAATCAGAATCTGACAAACGCAAAAACTGTTACAGCATGCAAAGCAATTGTATAAAATGATAACGAATAATAAATAACGGAAAAATTGTTTAAACATAAAAGGTATGGAAAATAAAATAAATAATGGTTTAAAACGGTAAATAAATAAAATAATTTATTAATAAAGTAGTTAATGACTTAGTAAGTTAAGTGATCGGTAAAAGAAAAGAAAACTAAATTGAGTAAATGATAGTTTTATTGTGTGCTAATAATTAAGGTGTCTTGTGATGATGGTCTTATTCTGATATGTTGACTGAGTGACGTAGTTGTTGCTATTTTCTACTTTCTTGAACAATCTTGAATCGAGTGTGTTGAATATTTTATTGATGTTAGGATATGATGCAGGTAGATAGATAGTTAGTTGAAGCGAATTAGTTTTTTGATGAGAGATTTAGTTGTTGAAGTTAGGTTAGAAATCAAAGCTGGCTTGAAATGACTTCATAAATGTATAAAATTTGATTATTTTAACAAAAGATGCAAAATCTCGCTATAATTTGTACAGTAGGGTGGAGCTTAAACAGTCCAAAAAATAAAATTTGTGATTTTCAATGGTCTTACGCCCCAGATCTTTTTCTTCTCATCTACAAATATTAATAAAGTTTGAGTCTCTTATAGCTCAATGTCATCAAAGATAACAAAATATTGCAAATTATTTAAAAATTGAAAAAATGCAAAGTATTTCTAGAATACATCTATGTAACCGCATTTTAATTTTGAATCTCAAACATTGTCTTTAAATACAATTAAACAGAAGCTTGTTCTTGAATATACAACCGTTCAAAGCCGAAAGTTAGGAAAGTTAGTGCCTTTCTAGTGACGTACTTGGCCGCAGTTCCAAAAATGTGCGTTTTTGCTGTCCGGATATGCCTGCCTGTGCTGCTCAACTGTTTGCAATAGGAACTGTAGCTAAGACTCATCTTTGGTTATAATGCCACTTTTTCCTTTTGCTTTTTTGCAAGTTGTTCATTCTTTGTTGTCTGGCAAGCAATTGTTCCTGTCTAGCTATGTTCGCTTCTTTGTGTCTCTACCAGCCATTGATCCTTTTTTCCCTTTTCTCGGTGGGCTAGCTGAAATTTCCTGTCTTTAGTAACTGAGATCATGCTAAGAGCGTTGGCACGAACAATATCAATAAGATCATCTAATTGGGAAACAAACAGCCTCTTTTGACTTGCGTCTGAGATTGCTGCGGCCTTTATTCCTCTTAAGCAGACGCCACTCTTAAATGTTTTTTCTAATTTAGCGCGACAGTTTTGTACAGCTCTTATTGGTATTCTTGCTTTATGCCAAAATTCTGCTATCTCTTCTACTGTAGCAGTTGATAACTGTCTGATAGTCTCATGCAGTTTCAGGTGATGATGTAGAAAATAGCCAAGAGCCATGCAATGTGATGGCAGCTTGCTGCCAGTTAATTCAGTCACAGTACATCCCAGATGATAAATTATTGTTACTTGCTCTATTATGGTCTTCCTGATTCTACACTCTATCTTTTAACTCTGCCGCTCGTCTAGTTGCTCGTGTCCCTCTTTTTTCTCATATATCTCCATATCTTGTTCTTTTGTACTGGTTACCTATAAAATATAGAATAATTTTTAAAATTTGCACATTTATGTACAAATTATTTCCTAAGAACTTATCAGATATATATATTGAACCTAAACGCCCCAGCTTACAAGCGTCTTCTTGTTCTCACTTCTTCTTAACTTGTGTTAAACGCTCTTTTGCTAAATATGCATTTGCTTTTTCTGGCCCTTTTTTCTGACTACTTTTCCATCACTTACGAAGTTCAAAGCGGATCTCAAGACCTATCTGTTTGCAATTGAGGAGCGCTGTTGAACATTGCGGAAATAGCACTTTATAAACTGATTGATTGATTGATTGATTGATTGATTGATTGATTGATTGATTGATTGATTGATTGATTGATTGATTGATTGATTGATTGATAAACTTCTGTTTGAGATCTAGTTGCTGTTGCCATATCTTTTACAACTTGACGTTAGTAATCAAATCACAACTATAATACAGTAAATAACAATGTCAATCAACTAAATGATCTGTCCAGCACACAGTACCAATTTATATGAACAAGAGTGATGTCAGCACACTGTCTCAACACATGGGCAAGACTAGAAACTAATGATGATGCCAGCGGCAAGACAGGCATGCACGTAAGAAAAGACTGCAAGACTCAGCTGATAGTGTCAGCATTTAAATAATAAGTCTGGGCTAATGCTTGCTAACAATAAAAACATGTATTATTTGTATCCATTATGCATCATTACTGATGTCAGCAAGCTTTATTTAGCAGGTAATAATAATTATGTGATTTAGTTACGTGGCCAATATTCAACCGGTTACAAAATACTACATTGTAGATTGTAGTACGCCTAACTACGGGTTTTATGTGCAAAAGCCCTTAAAGCTGATATACATCCAAACTGCATTGCAGTTGAGCTACCAGTCAATCAATCTTCGTTTTGCGTCCAGAGACCCGGTTCCCGAGGTAGGACGTTGTTTTCTTTGCCATCAACTTTTTGCGCCAAATTAGACGATCAGTTGTATCCATTTCATTTAAATTTAGAGCTTTCATGTCTTGCTCGATTGTTTGCGACCAGTTGAGCTACCATTAAATATTGATAAATGAAGCTGATAATTTGTCTGAACGATAATTTAAAAATATATAGAGAATAAAACATATAGGCCTTCGTTTTATAAAAAGCATCGCCGAGAGTTGTAAAAGGTAATTAGAATAATTGCTGCTATATGCAACCAGCATATTATTATATATTTACGTCCTACCTCGGGGAACTGGGTCTCTGAACGCAAAACGAAGATTGATTGATTGATTGATTGATTGATTGATTGATTGATTGATTGATTGATTGATTGATTGATTGATTGATTGATTGATTGATTGATTGATTGATTGATTGATTGATAGATTGATAGATTGATTGATAGATTGATTGATAGATTGATTGATAGATTGATTGATAGATTGATATTATTATATGTTGCATTAAGCTATGGGAATCCATCATTGATACACCATTCCTTGAATGTAAATGAAATCACAATTATCTTTCACTATGTTTTTTAAACAAAAAATATAAAATAATGTTACATCGACTGATTTATAACGTTTTTTGAAATATCTTTCATTTATTATTGGTGTTTAGTTAAAGTTGTGAATCAAAAGTTAAAAAAATGTGGTCGGCATTCTAAAATTTTCGTCCAAAACTACGCCCACGTCTTCCAAAATTGTGCCCGCGTGCCAACGAAATAAATGTAAATATTTTGTTATCAATACGAATACCTTTTAAACTTTATGCAGGTGAAAACAGTGAAATATTTCAAAGGTCTCATGGCTATTCATAATAAATTAGTGGAAGAGGATGGTGACCCGCCTTTCTAAATGTTCACAATTCAAAGAATTGTATTAATGTTAATTATTTTTTGATCGCTTTATGTAGTTAGCCATTGTTAACCATTAACAATAAATTTTTTTTACAATTTTCAAAACTACAAATAAATTTCAATAATACCCGAACATTGTGCTGTTAATTTGTAATAAAACGAAAGGTTGTATTGTAAATTTTTCATTAGAACGTGAGTTTTTTTTTAATTTATAAAGAGTCACCTCTAGAATGTTTCGAGCATTTTAATATTGTTGCGATCTAATTAGATTAGACAATTTAAATGAAAACTTAACAAAGAGCAACAGATTTTGAAATGCACACATGAAATGCTGGTTGTAATAAATTGGACTTTGACGTTTTTTAGCTCTCATTTTTATTCAAATATTATATAGCTAACCGGTAAGCTCATTAAGCGCAGTGCATAAAGTATTTTAATTTTTTTGTTTGGCTGGACGTATTACACACACACACACACACATATATATATATATATATGTATATACCACCTCAATTATGTATACATATAAATACAATTTTCATTAAATTCTATCACTGTAGTATTATTTTTAAATTAAAATTAATAAATATATTCCTAACTATATATATGTATGTATGTGTTGGTAGGGGACCATATTTTGTGCAGTGATGTATGAATTCTACCGAATTGTTGGCATTAATCATCAGTTCAAAGTTTGTCTTTTCAATTTTCCTTACTAAAATTTTCTGAAAATTATTCATTTTATTGGAAATAAAATTATCCAAGTTCATCATGGCAATTCAATAAAACTTGTATAAATTCAGCTTAGCTTTGGTTTAAATAGTGTTATAACCGTGCTACCGAACGCACTAGATTCTAGCGTATTCTAGAATGTTCTAGTGACTGGAACGTTTTAGAGTATACTGGAATCGGACCATCTGGAAGAATCTAGAAACGACGCTTGCGAAGAGTATATAAGCGCACGTCGCAATAGATTCGTGATTAGTGATATTCGTGATTAGTGATATTCGTGATTAATGATATTCGTGATTAGTGAAATTCGTGATTTTGTGAATAGCGATTCGGTGAATTATTTAAAGCGATATTTGATTTGATTGTTGACGTTGTCATAGCGATCGATTTTGAACGATTTAAAAGTTAATTGTTGCGTTAGTTTGAACTTACTGAAAATAAACGATTAGTTGATTTCTTCTGTAAATAAAGTTTTATAACTGTTTGGAATATTTTATTCAATCGAGGATTTGAACCCGTCGCATCGTAAATCGGTTACGATAGCGAGTATTATAACATTGGTGCCAGAAGTGGGATCTTCGACCAGCGAATTACTACTCATAGAATAAGAACACGATGTCAAAACTGTGTGGTTTGAACGTAGTTCAGCTACGAGAAGAACTACAGAAACGAAGCCTTGTCACAAGTGGCAACAAAGAAGTACTAGTAGCACGTCTGAGAGAAGCTCTCATTGACGAAGATAAGAACCCAGACGAATTCAAGTTTGATGATGCTGACGAAGACAATGAAATTAGCACAGGCACGTTTACAAACGCTAAAATGATGGAACTTCTGCTTAGTATGTCAACTGAAATAAAATAACAGATCAAGGAACAGTCCGAACGACAGACAGAGGAGTTAAAACAGATCAAAGAACAGTCCGAACGACAGACAGAAGAGTTAAAACAACAGATCAAGGAAAAGTCCGAACGACAGACAGAGGAGTTAAAACAGATCAAGGACCAGCTAAAACACGTAAAATTGGAATTGGCAGAACAGATTGAAGAACAGTCAACAAGAATAGAAATGATCGAGCAGAAACTTGATCGTCAGACCGTTGAGGTAGATCACAAGATACACAAATTGAAGCGAGAATTGGAGCAATCCAAAATGCTGTTAGATCACGCATCCGGAAGAACTTTGAAGGTACCAGCATTTGACGGAGAGATGTCCTGGAACGCTTATAAAACCCAGTTCGAAGCAGCGGCAACTAGTAACTGTTGGAACGGAAAAGAACGAGCAACAGCACTGATACTGGCCCTGCGAGGTTCAGCAGCAGAGGTTCTTCAGACGATTCCGGCGGAGAACCACTTCAACTATGAAGTTCTGGTTAGCGCGTTGGATTTACGTTATGGTGAAGAACACATGAAACAGATTTATCGGTCTCAGCTTAGAAACAGAACGCAACGATCTGGTGAATCCATTCAGCGGCTGGCACAAGATATCGAACGGTTGACATTGCTGTCGTATCCGAGATCAGACCCCGAGCATAGAGACGAAACTGCCCTGGATACGTTTATCAAAGCCCTTCGTGATTCGTAACTCAAGCAATCCCTTCTCTTGTCAGATAAACGAAAACTCAAGGATGCCGTTGCGCACAGTCTCACTTTTGAATCGGCAAAGCAAGCATCAAAAAGTGACGTACGTCTACGCCAAGTACATGAAGAATGCTCTTTCCAGAAGGTGGTTGTGAAACGCGAACCCCAACAGCATGGTGTACCCCAATGCTGGATTTGTGGTGAAAAAGGCCATCTACGTCGTGATTGTAAACACCGCCTAAAAGATAACTACTGCCGAAATTGCGCGACAAGATGGCGCAAAAGAAGAGAAGATGATCCTGTATCACGATCGGCCCCTTCTAACCAGAAGGTGGTTGTGAAACGCGAACCCCAACAGCATGGTGTACCCCAATGCTGGATTTGTGGTGAAAAAGGCCATCTACGTCGTGATTGTAAACACCGCCTAAAAGATAACTACTGCCGAAATTGCGCGACAAGATGGCGCAAAAGAAGAGAAGATGATCCTGTATCACGATCGGCCCCTTCTAACGAAGGGGCGGAAAAGCTAATAAGAGCCAACTTTGTGGGGCAGAGGTTGGCTAGTAGAATTGACGCCCCCAGTACCGTAATTAACGTTTCCAGACTACATCGAAATCGAAACGACCTATGGCTGAACGAAAAAGTTGATCAACGAGAATGTGTAATTACAGTCGACACCGGAGCAACAAAATCGATTTTAAGATCTGATTTTGTACACAATTTGAAGAAAGAGACTTCTAACAAATACATCCTTCGAACAGCTACCGGAGGAACAGCACCAGTCTATGGAAAGATTCTCCGTACTGTTCAGCTAGGCGACTTGTTATTCGAAGGTTCATTCTTAGTCGCGGATATCATCGACGAATGCATAATAAGTGTCGACTTTCTGACAAAATATGGGTTCAAAATTGACTTAGAAAAACGCATTCTTAGATGGAGAAATACAGAAGTGATAATGGGGGATAGCGACGAAAAATGCATTCGAGTGACAGTCGATTGTGACATAGAACTACCTCAATCATCTGAAAACATCGTATGGGGCAAGTTGAATTGCGATCCGAGGGGCCACCAGTTCTATTTGATGGAGCTAACCTCAACGACAAATGTACAGAACGCGGTCATTGGAAAATGCCTGGTAGAAGCGAACAAAAATGGTCTTATTCCTGTCAGAATAATGAATACCGCTAAACACACTATTAAAATTAAAAAAGGCGAGGAAATAGGTAATCAATCAATTGCCAATCAATAAATTTGGTGAAATCATTAGATATGGAGCAACAGGAAAAGGTTCTGCCAACTGACAAAGGTAGACTCAAAGAACTTACCAAAAATCTACTGGATGAACTCAATTTGTATCAAGAAGACCGTCTAAAAGCCGAGACGTTGATTGATAATCTTCGACAGCGATTAAACCATATCCACCGTTACGTACGCCTTAAAATTATGAAAAACACGGAGGCGGCCAAAACCAGATACGACTTGAAAGGAAGCAGTGGCGGTTTTGCTGTCGACGAGTTAGTTTGGCTGTACAATCCACAGCGAAAGAAAGGACGTTTTCCAAAGCTCCAGCGAGGGTGGAAAGGACCTTATTAAGTCATCACCCGCTTGAATGACGTCGTCTACCGTATTCAGGAATATCGTAAGCCGAGAGCAAGAATGAAGATCGTTCATTTGGATAGACTGACTCCGTACCATGCGGACACCAGAACGAAAGCTGTTCGGGACGAACAGAACTAAGAAGGGGGTAATGTTATAACCGTGCTACCGAACACACTAGAATCTAGTGTATTCTAGAATGTTCTAGTGACTGGAACGTTCTAGAGTATACTGGAATCGGACCATCTGGAAGAATCTAGAAACGACGCTTGCGAAGAGTATATAAGCGCACGTCGCAAGAGATTCGTGATTAGTGATATTCGTGATTAGTGATATTCGTGATTAGTGATATTCGTGATTAGTGAAATTCGTGATTTTGTGAATAGCGATTCGGTGAATTATTTAAAGCGATATTTGAACGATTTAAAAGTTAATTGTTGCGTTAGTTTGAACTTACTGGAAATAAACGATTAGTTGATTTCTTCTGTAAATAAAGTTTAATAACTGTTTGGAATATTTTATTCAATCGAGGATTTGAACCCGTCGCATCGTAAATCGGTTACGATAGCGAGTATTATAACAATAGTATATCTAGACAAAGCAACGTTAGTTACTTGGCAAAGTGAGTTACTTAGTTGGTGTCGTATTCTTCATTATCTTTATTTTTGCCATTTTCTTGTTCTTTATGACAATAGTAATCTTACTCTTCTACTTGTTCTAGACTTTTTCTCTGCTTTTGATACTGTTGATCATACTATTTTCTCGAGGCTGCTAGATCATTCTTTTAATATTGCTAATTCTTGTCTGTCTTGGTTTTCTTATCTCTATAATCGTTTTTCTTCTGATGTTCTGAATAATTCTACTTCTAACTCCTATTCTTACTTTTGGGGTACCTCAAGGTTCTATCCTTGGCCATTTTCTATTTATACCTCTGAACTACCTCGTATTATTAATAATTTTTCTTTCACTAATCAAGTATATGCTGATGATTCTTATATTTATACTGTTTTCCTCCATCTAATCTCAATAGTGTTCTTCATAATCTATCTCTATGTCTTTCTTCAATTATCGCTTGGTCTGACTCTATGTGTCTTAAACTTAATTCTTCTAAGTTTGAATTTGTTTTAATTCTAAACACCCTATTACTATTCCTCTTATTATCTTACCTGGTTCTAAAACTTTTGATGTCTCTCATAAGTTTCGTAGTCTAGGTTTTATCTTTGATTCTACCATGTCTCTCTCTTCTCAGATTAATAGTGCTGCTAAAAGTTTTTTCTATTATCTACGTAGAATAGAAAAACTTTTAACTTTTCTTGACGACCCTACTTTTCTCCATCTTGTTACTTCTTTAGTTCTATCTAGGATTGATTATTGTAACTCGCTCTACTTTAGTCTTCCTGATTCTACTCTCTATCTTTAAAGTAAAGCTTTTAACTCTGCTGCTCGTCTTATAGCTCAAGTCCCGTTCTTTTCTCATATATCTCCATATTCTTTCGCACTGGCTAGCTATAAAATATAGCATAATTTTTTTAAATTTGCACATTTATGTATAAATTATTATTTAAATACTTATCAGATATATTAATTGAATCTAAACGCGTTGGTTTACGATCTTCTTCTTTTTCTCACTTCTTCTTGACTCGTGTTAAACACTCTTGCTAAATCTGCATTTGCTTTTACCGGCCCTTTTCTCTGGAACATTTTACTTCCTTCTCCGACTACTCCATCCCTTACGAAATTCAGAGCGTATTTCAAGACCCATCTGTTTGCAAAATTTATTGACGAGCACGGTAGAACATCGCGGAAATAGCGTTTTATAAACTAATTGATTGATTATTATTAAGGCGTCGAGTTGGTAATGATGAAATCATTCTTTGTTGGATGTTTATTTTGGGTTTATTGATATCAAGAGACAGATTCTGCAATTTCTAGATGCATTGTGCTGGTGTTTTGATAAATTATTTTTGTGTTGTTGTCAAGAACTTGGCGGGTTATTAGAGTTTTATGTGTTAATTGTGAGACTTGATTGCTCCTCCTTGTATATGCATTGTGAGACGTCTTGATAGTGAAGTGGTCGTAACACCAATATACAAATATGGTTGACGCGCAGTTGTCAATAGGGCATTTAAATTCATATATTACATGATTATACTTTAAAGTAGAATCATCTTTAGGAGTACAGTTGTTCCTTAGAACCAATCGTAATGTCTTACAATTATTGTAGTATATCCTAAGTTTTATGTTTATTCTATTTTCTATAAAAAGGAAAATTGAAAAGACAAACTTAAAAGTTATTAATGCCAAAAATTCGGTAGAATTCATACAATATATACATGTTTTCTTCTTCTCTAATTTCTACCTAGGTAATCTAGAGCAAGAAATCTTCAACCAGCATCCAGAACTTGTACCCAACATCTACACAAGATATGTTGATGATATTTTTGTTTCTTATAACGATCCTAATTTGAAATATTTAATAAATCCAAAGTAAAATTTACCATTGAGTACGAAAGTTATAAAGAGTCGGCGTTCTTGTCATTTGCAACGAACACAATTTTCAAACTTCCGTCTACATTAAAGGTAATTATAAAGGAATATGTTTAAACAGAAGTAGTGAATGTACCGATGAATATAAATTAAGTACCGTAAGATCATTCATTTACCGCGCCTTCACGCACTCTTCATCCTCAGACGACGTTTGATGAAACGTGTCACAAACCTTATTCTAAATAATAATTACAGCGCAGATCTAATTAAAAATGTCATCGATAAAAAGTTACAACATATGAACAAAAACAACACCAGCATCAACAACAACAATAACGGCAATGACAATAACAACAAAAATAACAATAACGACAACCGGTTATGCCAAAACCGGTACAGCAACAACAAAATAACAATAATATTAACGCCATTACACTATACTATCGAAATTTTATGTCTTCGTCCTAAAAAACATGAAGAAGATAATCTATAATAATATTAAACCAACAAATATTATAGAGTAAAATTAAGGATCTTTCACAAAAACTACAAAACATCTAACCTTTTAATTTTGAATAATTGCCAACCTCGCAAATACTTGTCTTTAAACTTTAAAACTTAGTTATCTCATATATAAATTTTCTTGTCCTCTTGACGACTGTGCGCCTCTTCAAACTTCCTATGTAAGGATATATATATATATATATATATATATATATATATATATATATATATATATATATATATATATATATATCGGTAGCACGTGCTAGCCGCATTTTGATTTGCTCCGTATTTTTTCTTAATTTCATAGTTTAAAATCGAGTATTTTGTTTAAATTTAATTTCATTTGATAGAGAAAATATTGACGAATTTAATGATGTAATTTGTTTGCGTTAATTGTTTGAAGTTAATTTTGTCTCAATTAATTTAAGTTAAGTTGATTTAATTGTAAATTCTTGTTTAATCGACAAGAGAAGGAATTTAATTTTGTAAACGTTATAGGATAACCTGTATTGTTTTATCAGACTATCAGATATAGTGACATATTTTACTGTTGAATATGTCGAAAGATAAATGCAACAAATGCAAAGTTAAAATCAGAAAAAGTAACGATGAGTTAATTTGTTGTGGCATATGTGGTGACGGCTACCCAAAATGAAATAATCTGTAACCAAAATAAGCTTACTGATGAGCAAAGTTCTTTTCGTCGTGAGTTGGCTTCAATTGACGCAAAGTTAAGCGAAATGGCCAACAAAATTGTTAAATTTGATAAATCGGTAACAAATGTAAACACGCAGATTAAAGATGTTGAAGGGGGTTTGAAAAAGAATTAGACTGAAGTTGTAAAGGGAACCATCAAAGAAGAAGTTAAATCGACTACGGTGGCTCTGAACAATGTCGTCAAATCAATTAAAAACAATGTCGAAACAATAAACCGTGAGTGCAATGTTGTGTTATTTAGGCTCAGTGAAGCTGAAACTAACTCTGCTGATGCTCGTAATGATGATAAAAAAATTGTTATGAATTTGCTTTCAGTCATTACAAATGATGAAATCAAGGAAAGTGATATTAAGAAAATGTACAGAATTGGCAAAAAAGGTGACAACCCACGTCCGATGTTGATTGAGTTTAAAGAAAAGTCTATGAAAAACATGATAATGGAAAATTGTTTGAGGATGAAACAACTGAGTGATGAATTAAAAAATGTAAGCATAAGCCATGACTTCACTAAAGAACAGCGTGAGAAATGTAAAAAACTGGTAGCTGAAGCAAAAGATAAACAGAAACAGGAGTCGGGGGAATTTTTGTACAGGGTGAGTGGAGATCCATCAAATTTGAAAATAATAAAAATACAGAAATATTCAACAAAAAACTAAAGCATACTAGCTCTGATTGTGCGTCTATGGTTTTCAACTCTTCTGGTAATTTCAATAAAATTAAGGTGGGTCTGTTAAACATTAGATCTTTTGGTCCAAATGTTGATAATGTTTATGAGCTGCTCAATGATGGCTTGGATGTTTTGATACTTACAGAAACTTGGCATAAATCATCTGATAATATTTGTCTTAGTTTGGCAAAGCCACGTGATTTTATTTTTTTGGAACAAGTTAGGCTAAATGATCCTGGACATGGTGGTTTGGTAACGTATTTCAGAAACAACTATAAATGTGTAAAAATTCCTTTGCCAGTGATAATTATATTTGAAGCGATATGTTTTAAATTGACATTACGGAAAACTTCAGTAATTTTTTTGGTGATTTATAGGCCAGGTTCTGCTCCTCCTGCTAAATTATTTTTTGAAGAATTAATTTTAGTTTTAGAACAAATCACACTTTTATGTTGCAGCATTGTAGTTGCAGGTGACTTCAACATACACGTAGAAACTTTGTCAGATATATATGCAACAGCCCTTGCTGATATTTTCTCTAGTTTTGATCTAGTCAATAGAATTAATCAGTCCACCCATGTGCTTGGTTGCCACATCGGATGGTTTGCATAGCGCCGATGATTTTAAAAAAATTTTTGAAAGTGATCGAAAAGTCAACTGAATATTTTAATTTTCCAGTTATTTCTACTAATACTAATATTATGTTTCCACTCGAATCGTTTCCAGTGTTGACTGAAGAACAGATATCTAAAGTTGTTAATTCGTCACCTACGAAGTCATGCTCACTCGACCCAATACCGACGCATGTATTCAAAGAATATGCTGACTTTTTTATTGTTTACTTAACGGACTTAATCAACATGTGCTTAACGAAGGGTGTAATGCCACAGGTTTGCATGCATGCAATTGTCACGCCAATTCTAAAAAAGACAGGATTAGATAAATCAAATCTGATAAACTATAGGCCGGTGTCAAATTTGTCTTTCGTTTCTAAAATTATAGAACGTTCTGTTGAGTTAGTTTTAAATAATCATATAAATAAAAATGGTATTTGGCCTTTGCATCAATCTGGACACAGAAGATTTCATTCGACCGAAACAGCTCTATCGGATATATTCTCTCATGTATATTCATCAGTTAATGTACAAAAAGTAACTTTGTTGACATTCCTGGACATGAGTTCGGCGTTCGATACTGTGAATCATAAAATCCTGCTGGACAGACTGAAATATTGTTATGGTTTAAATAAGATTGCGTTAACGTGGTTCGAATCATTTTTTACTGGTCGGACTCAGCAGATTTCTTACTCAGGCGGTCTCTCGGAACCAATGAAACTTACGTCAAGGGTGCCTCAAAGATCTGTTCTTGGACCGATTTTTTTAAATTTGTACGTTGCAGAGATATTGGATTTACTGAATAAAGATGGTTATTATTGCCATGGGTACGCAGATGACATGCAGATTTGCGTTTCATGTTTTCCAGATGAGATGCCTACCGTATTAGAGAAACTGACAAAAACTATATCTGATGTCGGTTCGTGGCTGGGTCAAAGTAGGCTAAAGTTGAATCAGACTAAGACTCAATTCATGTTGGCTGGTACATGGCAACAAACGTCAGCGGTTGAACCTTCATCGATTAACATCAGCATGACTGATATAAGTTTCAGTAAAACGGTTACCAATTTGGGAATTGTGATGGACTCCCGTATGACAATGGGTCCACAAGTCAGTCTATTGGTTAAAAAATGTATGTTCCAACTACGTCAATTACGTCAAGTAACAAAATCGGTAGATAAAGATACAATGACTCTATTAGTACATGCTTTCGTCAACTCTAGATTGGATTATTGTAACAGTCTTCTATATGGCATAGCTGATAAACTGTTGCCTAAACTTCGGATGGTTCAGAATCAGGCTGCTAGAATGATATATCGCAAATTAAAATTTGATCATGCATCACCAATTCTAAAGTATTTGCATTGGCTGCGTGTTAAACAAAAAATCATGTTCAAGTTGGGTGTAATGGTATTTAAAAGTTTGAATGGTCTGGCTCCAAAATATTTAGAAGATAAGTGTATTCGAGTTTCATCTATGTCATCACATGGGCGTCTAAGGTCTGCTGATTAAAACACGCTGTATGTTAGAGATCGGAATCTGAAAACAGCAGATAGAGATTTTGCAGTTGCTGGGTCTATTTTTTGGAACAGCCTACCTATCGAACTACGTATATCCGGGTTATCATTAGCTGAGTTTAGAAAACGTCTAAAGACTTACCTATTTGGTAACTCCAAGTGATCTCAACCGATGATGGCTTCGCTTTCAATATGCTTCATACGAGGAGAGCGCTGATGAGAAGCAATTATAATTGGCGCTATATAAATACAATATTTGATTTGATTATATATATATATATATATATCATATATCTACTACCTCACTGACTAGAAGGCTTACGATCCATAAACAGAGTGGCGCTATCAAATCTCATTTGGACTCAACACACTCAATCACAATTAGCCGCGAAATCCTCGACAGCAACACCAAAGTAATATACCAGAACAGCAGCTACACGCATCTTAAAATTGCAGAAGCAGTCCTAATTGACATCAATAAACCAAAAATAAACATACAACAAAAAATGACAACCTCAGTCCCAACCCCAACAATGAAAACAAAGAAGTAATAAAAACTAGCATTGTAAATATTGAGAAAGAAGAATATGATGCTATCGATGAAGATAAGGAGACCAAAGAACACAACCAGCCAATAAAGAAAAAAGCGAAGCAAAAGACAAGGATCAAGAAAAAAGCACAGAAAAACAAGAAGAATCGTAAATACGATCGGCTAATCTTCACAATTTACTTCGATATGCATGTTTTGATAATTATCAAGAATATTTACGCAATTTCACTTGACAATTTATTTTTTGAAGTTTCGAAAACAATTTATTTTTTAATAAATTTGAATCGAATATATAATTAAAAAAAAGCCTTAATAAATCACAAAAATAACTTCGTTAAATAAATGGAAAAGCAAAAACTAAATAAATTTCTTAGAGAATAAAGCCGTCTCAATGAACGATCAAACAGTGAAAATAAAACNGGTTTGACAAAATTTTCTACCCTATTATTAT